TACGACCGGTTGTTGCATGTGTCGTAGTGCGATATGTCAACAGGAAACTGTCGATACGTTGTTGCAAACTCCGAACACTCGATTTGCTTGAGCTGAGAGCGCGTTTGAAGGATTGAACCATTCGTTCTGCTGCACCATTACTTGCGGCGTGGTACGGTGCAACTCTTACGTGTTTTATGCCATTCACCTTGAGGAACCATTGGAACTCCTCACTTGTGAATTGCAGTCCATTGTCAAAGACAAGTTGGTAGGGGATGCCATACCTGCTGAATAAGTCTTGCAGCACCGTGATGGTTGCATTCGCGGTGGTGCTACTCATGTGGAAGATCTCTGGCCATTTTGCGTATGCGTCAATGACGATCAGGAAATCGTGACCATTTTTCTGCGCGAAATTGATGTGAATTCTGTGCCACGAAGAGCTAGGCCACACCCATGGCATTAGGGGTGCCACAGCTGGAAGGTGTCTAGTCTGTTGACAGCTAGCACAGAGACGAACAGTCTGTTCGATGTCGCGATCGATGTTAGGCCACCAAACGTAGCTTCGTGCAATTTCTTTCATCCTGACAATTCCTGGATGCGCATCATGTAACTCACCCAGAATGAACTTCTCGTACTTGTAGGGTATCACAACTCTTAATCCCCACAACAAACAGTCCTGTTCCGTGGATAGTTCATGTCTGCGATTGAAGAAAGGTTTGAGGCGTTCGTCCCTTACCTCTGCTGGCCATCCACTTTTAGTGAACTCTAACACGCGCGAAAGCACAGGATCAGTTCTTGTAGCCTGTGAGATCTCCTTACTGGTTACTGGTAGGCTATCGAGGCGTTTGTCTTCGATGTTGTAGATAACGTCTTCATCGTCCTCCTCCATTGTGGGTAATGGGAGACATAAGAGCGCATCCGCGAGCACATTCTGCGAAGATGGAATGAACTGCAAGTTGTAGTCAAATGCGGACAACATTACAGCCCATTGCTGAAGACGTTGTGCTGCAAGGGTTGGAATCGACGTCTTGGGACAAAGGATGCGCTCCAATGGCTTTTGATCAGTCCGTATGGTAAATTTCCTTCTGTAGAGATATGTGCGGAAGCGTTTGAGACCGAACATGATTGCCAGGGCCTCCTTGTCCAGTTACGCGTAGCCCTTCTCATGTTTATTGAGTGAGCGTGAAGCATATGCTATGGGATGTCTGGAGCCGTCAGCGTACACATGCAGCATGACTGCTCCAAGTCCATATGGTGATGCGTCCGTTGCGAACTCGAGAGGGAGTGCTGGGTCGTAGTGAGCGAGAAGTTTGTCTGAACTGATGGCGTCCTTCACTGCCTCAAATGCCCTGGTACATTCATCCGTCCACTGCCAAGGACAATCCCCGAGCAGTTCGTTTAACGGATGGGCCATGGTCGACAGGTTGGGAAGGAACTGCGCTTGGAAGTTGACCATCCCCAACCATGAGCGAAGCTCTGTGACATTCTGTGGAACTGGAGCGTTGCGTATCGCGTCAACCTTGTCGTCGGTTGGCTGAATCCCTTTTGCAGAAATGCGACGTCCCATGTAGATTACGCTCTCCTGCATGAACCGACACTTTTCGGTCTTCAACCTGAGACCGTATTTCCGGAATCGCTGGAAAACGTTCTTTACGTTGCGGAGATGTTCCTCATCCGTCTTGCCTGTAACAAGCACATCATCCATGATTGCTTATGTGCTGTCCAGACCTGCTAGTACTTGTTCGATGAATCTCTGCCAGATTGCAGGACTCGATGAGATACTGAATGGTAAGCGTGTATACCGATACAGTCCCTTGTGCGTGTTAATCGTGACGTATTCTTGGGATTTGTCGTCGAGCAACATTTGCTGATATGCGCATTTCAAGTCGATTTTGGAGAATTTCTCCCCACCGGCTAGCTTGCTGAATACTTCCTCCGAAGTAGGTATGGGGTACTGATCCGTGTGGATTGATTTGTTTACAGTGTTTTTGTAATCCCCACACAGGCGTACCGTACCATCTGCTTTGGGTACACACACCAGGGGTGTCGCCCACTCGCTGAAATCAACTGGGTAAATGATTGTCTCTTGCTCCATTCTGGCGAGTTCCTTTTCGACTGCGGGGCGAAGAGCCAATGGCACTGTGCGAGCCTTGTGGAAAACTGGAATAGCGTCTTCCTTGACGTGCAGTGTTGCCTTAACTCCACGTACTGTGCCTAACTCTGGCTGAAAAATGTCCTTATATTCACTTTTCAACTCGGCGATTGGGTCAGAATTCACACCGTATTGACCCTGAGAAAACAGATTAGGCCAGTCCAGCTTGAGAACTGTCAACCACTCCCTGCCCAACAAGGGTGGTGCGTACTTGTCTGCATGGACGATGATTAGCGGTAACGTTGCTTTCTGGTCGCCGTACTGAACCTCGACAACCAGTTCGCAATTGGGCACCCGCGTAAGCGTGTACATGTAGGACACGATTCACCGGTTGCATTGGAATGTGAATAGTCTGACTGGCTCATGATTGATGCAGCGGCACCTGTGTCAAGTTCCATTTGTATGGGAATGTTCGCGATCTTGACAGGAACCTTGATAGTTGAAGTACGGCTGTACGTATCGGCTGTCGTGTCTCCTGACGTATCCGCTTTTGAATTATCGGAAGTCATAACCGTAAAAAACCGAGTCGACGAATGTACTGTCATCGCGATATGCGTCATCAGTGGGATCGTAAAGTTCGCGGGGGTTTTCGTCGTCTCCCACATAGCGAACGCGTCCTTTGGGCTTGGTTCGCTGTTGGGGCGTGTATTTCGTGGTTGGTGGTGCAGGGCCTGATTTACTATCAGACTTGCACTCTGACTGCAAATGTCCCACTTTCTTGCACTTGTAGCATGTGGCACTCTTGTATCGGCAATCATCGCGATTGTGATTGTTCAGTCCACAGCAGTCACAATGCTTCCTTGGTTGCGATGACCTTGGCTTTTGCCATTTTTGATTACGCTTGTAGTGAGAAGTCACCCTATTCACTGGTTTAGTCTCCACGGTGCCCATGTCTCTCACATTCTTTGCAGCAGCCTCCTCTGCGAGAGCGAGATCCAGAGTTTGTTGGAAATTGTAGTTGCGAGCGAGCAGCTTCTTTTGGATGCTCTCAGACTGCAGCCCACACGCAAACTCTCCTGCAGTTGATCCCCCGCAAAGTCACAATATACAGCCATTTTCTTCAAATGAGCAACGTATTCACAGATCGATTGTCCTGGCATTTGTCTAGCATTATGAAATCGAAATCTCTCTGCGAATGCCAGTCTCTTGGGTCTGTAGTGTCCCCGTAACAGTTTACACAAATCCTCGAATGACTTTTCCTTGGGTTGTTGCGAAAAAGACAAGTCTTTAAGTGTCTTATATGCCGTGAAACCAATGCTGCTCAACAAAATAGCCTTGCGTTTGACAGCGTTTGCCTCTGTCTCCGCAATGTCCACAGCAATGAAATACTGATCAAGTCTCTCCAAATATGTATCAATATCACCGTCCACTGGGTTAAATTTCTCGAACACAGTTCTCTGAAAAGTCGCCATTATCGTTTATCGTAGAACGTATCGTTACTATGCGTCGTCAACCATGCATGGACCAATGGCGATGTACATGTACGTTGTACTGTACCGCGCATCGTGTGTGCAAAAGTTATCACCGTACGTGTCGAGAAAACTTTGCAAAAAGTTCGTGAAAACTCAGGGTCGTTTCACACAATTTATAGTCCGTAGATAATCCTCTGCGTAACCCGTGTGTTCAAGGTTCATCCTCGTCGCCACTGTTGTGTTCGTACGTCAATAATACCCGATTAAGGAGAGACTGAGATTAGGGATACTTTTCTGGTTGCTTCGTATTGTATTCACGTTCCATGTCATGCCATAACACACTAGAGTACACACGTACTAGAATGTACAGATGATTAACAAATGACGTCATACACTGGTTGCACTATAAATAGATCACTGCAGTCTGCATACACAACATAATAGTTGGATATCTACAAGGTTGCTAGTACATTTGTAGCTGTAAAACGCCGCCATTAACAATTGCTCTCACATGGATGTCAAAAGTACTTTTGAGGTAAGATAAGATACAATTTTTACGAGTTACGAAAGATTCTGTCACGTCAAGTAACATTATCCCATTTTTCTGAAATATGATAATGTTTTAAGTTTGTTCCCCGAAAACTTCGCCGAACTGTATACATTTTCGAACAGTCAAGTTATCCCTTTCCTTTTTTGGGGCAATATTTGGTCTGAACCCTCTCAGTCAGTCGTTGATGTTGTAAAATCAAACGCCACCGGAGACCGAAGGCCCCTTTAAAAAGAATTCCCCGAAATTTCCCACCTGACAAGGAACTAAAAGAAACGACCGGTGTTGTAAATAAACACCCAAACTGATGAATGAGTATCGTGGGGTTGATATTTCCTCGGTTCCCTCTGATAATGTGAGTCAGAGGTCCCAATCGGGCAGAGGTATAACCATGAATTATCGAGAACTGTATTCTATAATGGTGTAGCCTGTGCCGCAAGGTATAATGCGCCGGGAAATGTGTAATATTTGCATCATATCTTGAAATACATGGGAGGAAATTCGCTGTGTAAAAAAAAATTAATAAGTTAAGGCCCCCAAAAAAGTCTCCGGTTTCTGGTATGGAGCTTGCCCAAAAAGTGGTGCGGCAACTCGTTTTTTTTTTTTTTTTTACCTGTTTTTTTTTTTTGCTTCAAATGTCGGCTGATGACTGCAAATGGTGCCCGACTAAACTTAGTGCAAATATTATGGGAGACCAGAGAGGCCACATACATTGTAAAGCTTATTCTCGATCATAACCCCATCTAAAAATACGTTAAAATTGTGCAGCAGCAGGATTCCAGTCAAACCAGTGAGTTTGGTGGTTTTGAGACATCATCTTTCATTGAAAAAAAAAACCTTTTTCATTTTGCCGACGCGCATGGCTACGGCGACGTCCGCGCATACCAGAAACCGAAGACTTTTTTTTTGGCCTTAGCGCGCAAGTCCTAATTTGTGAAATATCTGTATACAGATTTTTATCCGTTAAATTGGGTATAATATCAATTGAGATTTCTGTGGCTTTTCTGAGCATGTGCTGACTTTCGGGAGATACATATGTTTTTAACTTATGTCGCAAAAAAAGATCAAATTTCGGGAAACGACATGTGTATGAGACGTGGAGTGAAAACATTTCTTTTGTTGGTGTTCTGTATGTTGTTTTTCCTGGCTACGGAGTTCACTGTTGGGTGTTGCTGCTCAATAAGTTGTAAGGACATTAATAATAATAGGCACGTGGTTCAGCTATTCTCCCCGCGTTTGGTGTATTTCCATGGGTTCTTGGCGGGAGGTTGGTGGACGGACATCAATAAGTCAGCTAATCGACGGGTTCGTTGCTCGCAAGCGCATAAGCCCATTGTGACACAGGGTTTTCTTCAATGGAAGTTGTACTCCAGGCCCGTTGTCGCGTTCTGCTTCATGTCTTTGCAATTATTTTTTTTGCTCAAGGATACTCGTGGCACGGTGTATCCGTAATGCCAACGAGTGACTGGTTCTTCACATTGAAAAAGGGCCATCAAAGTGAGGAACAGTGTAACTTTTATTTTAGAAACCGCCCACCCGGAAAAATCTTATTGTGTATTAAGAAAGCGAAGGAAGGTTTCTCGTGTTTATTAGGCAACAAATTAATATTAAATGGCACAATTAATGTGTTTGTGTTTCAATTTCTGGGTTGGCTGCTGCCTTTGAAAACACGGATCCCTGTAGCTAAGTGGATTTGTCGATAACAATTACATTGTGTCCATTCGCAGGCGAAACCTTACGACTTGAAGTCAAGTCGGTAATTTGGCCGGGTTTTGGTCGCCCGTGGACAGCTGAATGTCACTCACCGTGCATGGCCGCTGTCAGTGATTGGCAGGTCTGCTACCAATGCGATAGTGTTATCGTCCTTGCGTTGAATTAAAGTGATACTAAGGCTTAAATAATAATAACATTAAACATTTGTTTTGATTGCAGGACACTGACATCATCAGATTATGCAGCAGCATTATCAATGAGATACAAAACTTCACTTAACGGATAAGCAGTGAGTCAGATCAACCAAGGATACTTGTACAGAAGTTGTATTCTTCTATACAAGCTGTTTTCCTTTGAATTGTTAAACGGAAGGTCGTCACCATGACTGGCGGACCGGGCAGCACCAAGCGCCACTACCGTCGGCTGCTGGACAAGCTCAAAGCCCGCTCCAGCCGCATCTTTGTCAAGACCCAGATGCAGAACCGCATGCAGGAGCAGAGACTGAAGAAAGTGGTCAATGTCCTGGAGAAGGATCGGGACCCCTGCATCCGCAAGTCTCATGAGGGGATCTGGCGAGTGTCGTCTAAGGAGTGCCCCATGCCGCGGCTGGCCAAGCCCGAGGGGATGCCATCGTACCTGGCCCGTCCCCGCGCCACGACTCTCCCCACCCCAGCTGAACTAGCCACCCTGCTTCCTAAGAAGAGAGTCAGGGGACAACAGCACTATGCATCTCACGCTGAATCGGTGGCCACCAGCAAACCGCCTCCCAGAGAATACACCAAGATGTCCAAGAGAAGACTGTCCTCGATGAGATCAGATCAGGTCCAGATATATCACTATCGGAAGGTGATGGAGGAATTTGAGGAGGCAGTGGAGGTCTTTCCAGAAGGCAATGGGACAGAAGAGCATGCGACTGCTGCGGGTGGCACCGGAGAGAAGATGGAGACACCGACGCAGGGAGACAGGACTGATGGGAAGTGGGCAACACCGGTGACTAGGACAAAGAGCGTTATCAGCGAGGCAAGCAAAGCCCTGGCAGACAATGAGAGTACGGCAGCAGCTGAGGAATCAGTGAGAATTGTCATGAAGAAGCTCGGCATACGTCCTCAATCCAGCCCGATGTCTTACTCCCGAAGACCGCGGCCAAAGAAAAGACGCCCTCAGACGAGTGTCGGTACCTGCGCCACCATTGCCGAGCAACAACTGGACTCCAATAGCAAGGTGCTGCGAACCAACTACCTGGACATGTACAAAGCACAGCTGAAGAACCACGTCCGTCGCATGACTTCAAAAGGTGAAATGCCAGCGCCGTCTATATGCATTGATGACATGTCACCACACCACGGCCACCGTGATGAGCGACCCAAGTCGGGTCTTGACATGAGCGTCCTCTCGCAGGCGTCCACTCCCACCAAGGCCCCTTCGCTGGCCCACAGTAAGTTTTCCTCGCCAGCCTTTTCACCCGAGTCACGTGGGATCAGCAACAATCCTGGTGCCAAGATAGAAAGGCAGTCCACCCTCATGCAACAGACAGCCTCGTCCACATCACGCTCAACACCGAGATGTCAAATGCGCAGGGTCAGCACGCAGATCATGCATGCCACCACCTTCGACACGCTACAAGATGAGGTGCAGAAAATGCAAAGCTACCGCAAGTTCCGGCGGGAGTCTCTGCAGATGGACGATGTCGCCAACCTTCAGGACTTGGAGGACGGAGAACTGTTTGAAGAGATGAAACACTGTCGGTACATCAGGTGGGCCAAAGCAGACGAAGCTTTAATTGAGGAATCCAGTGAGAACGAACCCTTACAACACCAACTTGCGCTTCTGACCCTGAAGTACGTCCCTCAGGGCCAATCAAAGAAAAGTCGGAACGAAAACACATAACCAGACGATTTATACTTCACACAGTTAATTAATTGGCAGTGTTTTAATTGGATTAAAATTTATTGGATTAAACATCAAATGTTTAATATTAAAAGAACACTTCTAGTCTTCTACTACATGTATGTTATGAATTTAGTTAGACACGGTTTTTGTTTAAATAACCATATCTAGCCGAGGTATGTTCCTTTGCTCAGACAATCTACATGTACACAAAATATCTTTCGATTATTAAAATCAAATAATAATATAAATGAAAGCGATATGTATTTTGTTTTGCAAACAACTAGGCCTATAAAGCCTTTTTATTCAAACTTATTTCAGCAGAATGTGTAGTTTGTGTGGATAGAAAAATTCATTCAAATACTTTTGACTTACAGTCGTTAAAGGTTGCACATGTGCATGTTTCAAACTGTACAATCTGATCTGCAAATTATTAGTGTCAAGAAAATCATTTACCGGTAGTTCAAAATACTCAATTCGCAAAATACCCTTAAATCCTTGACTTGCATTGACTTATTGGATTAAACTTTCAGTAGTACCAATGCGATTTCATAGGTTATAACAAATATGGGTAAACTTTTTTTGAGGTGCAGGTCTTACTGCACGTATTGTTTTAATGATTGTGCACTTTCATCTGGAATGTGCCATTTTAGAATCCAAAGACACCAGGGGTGTGAGTGACCACTGATAAAAATAGCTGAAAACAGCTGAAAAGGTGTAAAAAAGCTGAATTTTGAAATCTCCTATACTTTTGTACACAGCAAGTGAGGGAAAAAAGCTGAAATCCAAAACAAAAAAAGCTGAAATCAGCTAAAAAGCTGAGATTTCACACCCCTGGACACGTTGTCCACTTGACATGCTTAGAAAGTAAGTTTCACATTCCACAGCCATCTTGAAAACAGCGCCACAATGTGACTTACTAAAGCCAGTCGAGGGGAACAAATTTGTAAAAGAGATACCGGTAGGTCACTGCCACATTGCAATTTCTGCTTGATATACCGACTTTTTAATGCCAATTTTAGAGCCTGCACTGTAACATAAAGACTAACAACTTACACGAGGATGTCAAGACACAAATACGGATCAAAATTTATGTATTGGCCTACAGATTCCACCCCCCCCCTTTTTTTGGTAGCCGAAAACTTCTTACTACATTGTAGTTCTTACTTTTTATTTTATATAATTTTTCCCCAATCCTGGGATTTGTAGAGACGCCTTTTCAAATCCAACTTAAATTTAACAAAAACGGTTTATTTTGACTTCCCATACATGTACCAGTATGTGTGACTGCGAAAACTTGTATTCAGTTTTATTCACGTTTATGTGTGATAGTGTTGGATTCAGCTACATGTACAACACTTATATACTGTACATGTAGGCCATGTATCCCGAGTGACTGGTGATGTTCTTTGCAGTCAGTTCACAAGTAACTGGTTGAAAATTGAATATTTTTTTTAAATGCATCACTACATCAAGTCCAGAACTTTGGTCTGACCAGAGACCCACAACCTGGAAAGTTAAGCGCAAGATGTAAAGGGTAACTCTGGTGACACTATTGGTTTGCAATTATTTTTGGTGCTACTGTAATTGGCGATTTGGTAGCTGTTGGATCCGGTTGAAATAAATAAATAAATAAATAATCTGAGTAGACAATTTGATCAAATTTGAGTGCATTTCACGTTTTGAACTTAAGCCACCTTTGAGAATATGATTGAAAAGTACTAGGCCCTACATGCCTTAGGTGCATGTATATCTAGGCTGATTACAAAGATTACGTGCACAAACAGTAGATTGTCCCTTTTTGACAACTTTTGAGAGCCCTAGTTGGAGAGACACATTGCGTGAATGTACTGGTACGCGGCCTTTCGTGTAATTATGTCATCATGCCAATGTTTGTGTTGGACATTCCTCACTAAATATTTGCATAATTTATATAACTGTAGCAAAATGCTTCCGTCTTCAAGTTAAATTTATTATCATTGTACTTCCGGTTACACTGGAAGTAAATGGTATGTGCCCTGGACATGCTGGAACAAAATATTGCCAGTAGCAATGTCTGAAACAACAAAAAACTAGAAATGTGTTTGTGGACAAACACTGAGCTGTTTGGACCGTTTTATTAATGACTGCCGTAAAGGAGTTTCATCCAGGTCGAATGAACATGTACATGTACATGCGTATTCTATACAAAAAGTGTCTATCCTAAGTCCCTGACAATGCATGAACATAAAATCTGTCAAAGTTAGCCGGAAATCGGCTAAAACGGTCACTGTGGACAGGATTTGACCTCAGCAACACGTGCGCTGCGCGCGGGCTGACTGACTACGATATGTACAACGTATGTACATGTACATGTACATTGTGGACTGTGAGTTATTGTCAACCTGAAGTTTTAAGCGTGCGCAGGGCATGTCTGAGTTTGCTTATTGCCTCGAAGCTTTGAAATATTTTAGACCTACCCTTACATAGACAATTAAAGTAGAAATTAATATAAAAACTGCCATGGTTGATTTTTCAGGATTTTTTTAAGGAAAAAGGGTCTTTTCATTATAACTTCCGGTCTGATGACGTCATACACCTTAAACTTCGCACACGTCTTAAGTGGGTCAAGGTCATCATATACACCAATATTTAGGCCATTCCGACAAACTTCGCCACAGACATCTATTCAAAATACATTTTTGAAAATGTTCAACCTGTCGCTAGAGGGCGCTCGAAGATTGCATGACGTCATCGGTAGATGATTTGAAGAATACTATCAGCCAAGAGACTAACACAGTTAAAAGCAAGTTCATATCTATTACCACTTTTAAATAATAAGCCACTTTCGGTTTTGGCCTTTTTCGACCGGAAGCAAGGGTCACGTGATTTTACGCACACTGAATGAAATAAAGTCCTCAACCTACTCTACCACTTGCCGGCAACAGAATGCTGCGGACGCGTACGGTTGATTTCTTATGCATTTTTTAATTGCACAATTTAATTGCCTATAAATAAACACCGGATGACGTCATCATGACGTCATCATTACACAATGTTGTTTGAATTAGGGTCATTGCTTGGACAAAGATTGGTGTAAATGAATTACTGGCAAAGTGTCGAAAATGCCCTCTGAAAATTGACATTTTTTTTTAAATTTCTGTGTACAAAGTCTATGGGAAAAATTAAATATTCAAAATTCTATAATAAATCACGTGATGACGTCAGCATGACGAAAAGTTTCGGCGCACATCTTCAGATGGTGGTCTAAGTGTGTGCCAGGTTTGAAGTCGATCGGATTTGAAAAAAAGCCAAAAGTGACTTGTAGAACGAAAACACGTGTTATCCTATGAGAAAAAAGTCTGAAAAATAAAAGAGAAAAAAAAAAATAACAGAAACAAGAGCTGTTTCTGTGTGTACACCGAAACAGCTAATGAGACTGTTCCATTATAAAGTTACATGTATAGCCTAATTAAAAGTTCCATTATAAAGTTATAGCCTAATTAAAAGTAAGCTTGTAATTTGATACCAGGTGATGTCATGATGACATCACATTTTCTTTTACATCTTCGGACCAGGGTTCAAATTCCATCTACATGTAGGTTTTATCGTCATCACGTCAACTGTTTGGAAAAGATGTGGTTCGTTTTGATTTTGAGGCTTCTGTCTGTAATTTAAATTCACCCAACTTTGACCTTCCAGTAGACCCGGAAGTAAAGGTCGAGCGAGTTCACGTAGGAGAAAACCCGTAAAGAATTATTGTCCAGCAAAAAAAAACCCAAAGAATAATTATTACCATTTCAAAAAGGTGATCGGGTCGTACCCGATCAAAAAGTCCCCAAAAACATTCAGTGTGATGAATCCTGCTTTTGACAGATTTTCCACTTTTTTCTGTCTTAGTTTTATTGTGTTGAGCATAAAAATCGGGCAAGAAAGATCTTTTGCTGTTACTCCCTCAACCGTTTTAAAGTACAGTTAGAGCATTTTCTCTTCAAATATGAAAAAGTCTTACTTTGCAGTACTTCGAGTCTGTTCCATCCCTGTGAAGCACCAGCAAGGTAGTGATGTACTTGGTGCGGTCCTTCTCCTGGGCTGTATAGTGCTTCTCAAGGGAGCTCTGGTCTGAGTCTGTACCATCCCTGTGAAGCACCAGCAAGGTAGTAATGTACTTGGTGCGGTCCTTCTCCTGGGCTGTATAGTGCTTCTCAAGGGAGCTCTGGTCCGAGTCCGTACCATCCCTGTGAAGCATCAGCAAGATAGTAATGTACTTGGTGCGGTCCTTCTCCGGGGCTGTATAGTGCTTCTCAAGGGAGCTCTGTTCTGAGTCTGTTCCATCCCTGTGAAGCATCAGCAAGGTAGTGATGTACTTGGTGCGGTCCTTCTCCGGGGCTGTATAGTGCTTCTCAAGGGAGCTCTGTTCTGAGTCTGTTCCATCCCTGTGAAGCATCAGCAAGGTAGTGATGTACTTGGTGCGGTCCTTCTCCTAAGCCGTACAGTGCTTCTCAAGAGAGCTCTGGTCTGAGTCTGTTCTAGCCGTGAGAAGCAGTCCTTCTCCTGGGCCTTATAGTGCTTCTATAGTGCTTCTCAAGAGAGCTCTCTGATGTGAAGTGAGCTGGTAGATCTGCCATCACCTGGTCAAGAAATTTGAATATTGTCAATTTGGGAAAAAATGTTTGATACTGATTGAGACATTTACTTGTATTCATTATTAGCTATCCTGCAAATTCGAGTGGAACAAGGTTAAATAAAAAATAGGTTAACCAGTTTGCATCGGATAATGTGTATACAAACAAAGATTTTGCAGTATTCGTAGCGGTTGACAGATGAACAAGCAATGATAGCTGAGTCCTATCAATACAGATGTCAAATTGGTTCAAAAAAATCTTGGAGTTTTTAAGAATAAATTATTGTTTCACTGAAGAAGAAGTGTCTTTGCTCCCTTATTAGTCCCATCCTTGTAGATAGGATAGGATGCCTAGTTATATATCTTTGATACAAACGAATCCGGGAAATATCAATTTATAGTGACTGGGCATCATTCCATCTTGCAAGGTGACAGAAGAAAGTCCTGAATAGCGCCCTCTACTCCACCTCACCCGGCCGCAGCATTACATGACAAAACAATGAAACAAGCCCATTGGTTTTACTTTAAACATGCCTTAGACCTTACTCCATATTTTTTATACAATTTCCTTAAAACATAAGTAGTGACTATCAAAGGTTATTAATATCACTCAATCTGAAAATATAAAGAAAACAAAAATCCCCCACTTGCATTATTGTCCATTCAGCCATAAAAAATCGTTGTGCGTCAATTTTGATCTGTTGAGTCAATTTCTTTTTTTCTTTAAAATTTTCTGTAGCCACAACAGTGCCCTTTAGTGCTGCACCGCCTCAAATATTTAGCACTAAGGAGCACAAGGGCACCAAGGCAAATGATAGGGCACCAAGGCAAATGATAGGGCACCAAGTCAAATGATGTAA